GGCTTTCCATTAAGATCAGAAACAAAATAAGAATGGTTGCCCTCACCACTTCTTATTCAACAGTGTATTGGAAATTCTAGGCAGGACCATCAGGCAAAAGCAAAACAAAATGAAACAGAAAATCAAGATTCAAAAGAGAGAAGCAAAGCTGTCTTTATTCACAAATGATATATCACCTATGATATATAGAAAATCTAGCGGAATCTACAAAAAAAAAATGCTAGAAATAATAAGTGAGTTTAGAGGTCTCAGGATATAAGGTCAATGTATAAAAATCTACTGCATTTCTATATATAATAACAAATCAGAAATTGACATAAAAACAGAATTTATAACAGCATCAAAATATGAAACACTTAAAAATAAATTTGGCAAAAATGTGAAAAACTTGTACATTGAAAACTGCAAAATATTGCTGAGAGAGATTAAAGAAGTCTTCAAGAAATGGATAGATATTATAATCATGGTTTGAAACATTTAAAATTGACAAGGTGCCAATTCTCTTCAAATTAATCAACACAATCACAGTAAAAATCCCAGCTACTTTTTTCTCTGTAGAAATTTAAAAACGGGTTCTAAAATTCATATGGAAATGTAAGGGACCTAGAATAGTCAAAACGAATTAGGAAAAAAAAAACAAAACAACAACAAAGTTGGAGGGTCAACACAACTTGACTTCAACATGATAAATCTGCGGTAATCAACATGGTTTCTGGTGTGGTATTGGTATTAAGAACAATAAATAAATCAATGGAACAAAACAGAAAGTCCAGAAATAGATCTGTATGTACATAAAAACTGATTTTTGAAGAAGGTATAAAAGGCAATTCAGTGGTAAAAGACTTTTCAACAGATGGTGCTGAAATAATTAGATCTCCAAATAACACAACAAATTAACATCAAGCTATACCTTAAACTATATATGCTAATATATATACACTGATATTTGAATATTTATTCAAATATCTCAGCATAAATAATGGGCAAGATATTCAAGTAGACACTTCACCAAAGAAGATATACAAAGGGCAAATAAACACATGAAAAAAAATGCTCAACATCATTGGTCACTAAAGAAATACAAATTAAAACCCCAGTCAGATATCACTACCCACCCAGGGCAGTGGCTAAACTTAGAAAGACTGACTATACCAGGTGTTGTTAAGAAGGTCAAGTGAGAGGACTTTTCATACACTGTTGGTGAGAATGTAAAATGTTTCAACCACTTTGAAAATCAGTTTGACAGTCTTAAAAAATGGTAGATACACCTCTAACATACTTTCTGCTCTTGAATATTTATCCAAGAGACATGAAAGTACATGTCCATTTAAAGACTTTATATGAATGTTTGTAGATTTGTTTGTAACAATCAAATACTAGAAACAGTCCAATGTCATTCAATACAAACTGTGGTATATCCATGTAATAAAATACTATTCAGAAATAAAAAGAGCTTACCTATTAGTACATGTTACAACAGAGATGAATCTAAAAATAATTATCCTGAGTGAAAGAAGTCAGACAAAAACGGGTACATAATGCATAATTCTACTTACATAAAGTTCTAGAAAATGCAATCTATAATGACAAAACAGATCAGTGGTGGCTTGTGGTTGTGAGTGCACAGAGGCGGGAGGGAGGATATAGAGGGGCGAAGTTTTGAGGTGATAAAAATGTTATCTTGATTGTGGTGATGATGTCATGAGTGTACACATATTGTCAAACTTTATCAAATTTTACTTTAAATATGTGCAGTTATCTGAATGTCAATCATAGTTCAATAAAGTTATTTCTTTGTTTTGGGTGTCTGTTTTTTAAAAAATATTTTATTTTAAAGATGTGGGGTACAATTCAGGGTTAGGTATACAGGTGGACATCATACAGGTAAAGTTTGGGCCTCTCTTTGGTCCCCAATAAAATTATTTCTTAAAAACTCAACCTTAAGATTTGGCTTCAGGCACTGAAAACAAAATATAGGTTGGAGAGCTTCAAAGTCATAGGATTTCAAGATATTAACTTCGCTTGGTTCTAAAATGTACCATGTCTGTGAAATCAGCTACTCTTCATCATTCCTTGGTCAACAGGCCATAAAGCCCATAATGAGCTTCCTTCAACACACACAGGCGTCGCCACCCCCTTTTTTCCTCTTTATGGGATGGGGGAGCATATGAAAAAGATACAAAAAAAAAAGATACAACATAGAATGTCAATCATAGTTCAATAAAGTTATTTCTTTTTTTAGTTACATTTTAAATACATTTATACAGGGATATTTATTTTTTATGTACTTTTCTTATACATTTATACAGGGATATTTAATTTAACAATTGCTTTTAGATGGCCACATCACACATAGCTTCTTTGAATATATGGTTTGATGAGGGCTACAGATATGATGGTATGACTGAAGAGAACAGACAGCAAGCCTGTACAGAGCACCCCTGACATAAGTAACTCCAGCTTTAAAAAAGACTCTATTTTACATTTCAAAAGGCATCATGTCAACAACAAATCAGTAAAGACTGCACTGAACCAGGTAAGGACATAAACAGGCACACTCTTTTAATATTAGTCCTCACCAGAGGAGTTTGTCACCATCAAAAGAGCAGGACTTCGCCAGCTTGAAACAGCTGTCCTAACAGACACCATTATGCTGTCACTCATAAGCACTCAGACATCTGCTACAGAAGGGGTTGCCCACATCAGAGACTCTTCCTTGCAAGATATTGACGTCCAACTGGGTCAGGCCAAGACACTCTAAGTCTATGCTGCTTTCCTTGGACTGGTTCATTAGTCCCTTTTCCTGTCTCCATCTCTTGATGTTAAATGTTACTTTGTAGAATGTTTAATCTATAACACTTATGCATTGATTAAATATGCTATTTTGTCTGATTTGCAATATTGACTGACTTGTGAAGTGGTTTGAGGCTGTGTGTCCATGCCTCTGACCACTGGGTGAACAGGGAGTATTAAGAATTGTGTCCTTGGGGAACTCCATGTGACCCATGACTTTTATTATTGAGAAAGCATCAGTAAAAGTCTGACCTTCTGGAAAGACACAAAGATACACGGACCTGGTTGTGTCTGACCTTGTGCTGTGCATGACAAGGGCGTTAATGCTAATTTGATAAGCAATATGAAGAGGGATTTCTTTCTTCTTTTAATACCCTCTTGGGGAATTAGCCAAATGTGTCAGAAATTACTAATAATTGAATGACTGAAGTAGAAGTATCACACTTCTACTGGGTCAAGTGCATACCCAGAAACTACACTGATCGATCACCCAATCAACGGGCATCAACTTGTCTATTGAAGACATATGGATTACAAGAACCAAGTAGGAATTTTGTTAAAATAAATGAACATTGATTAGATCTCGTGTCAGGTTCCAATTATGAGTCCCAAGCCCCACTGTGATCCACAGGAGTGTCCCTCGCTGTTCCTAGAGAAAGTCTTTGTCCCACTGTCTGCTGGAATGAGTTGCCGCTACAAAGCCTGATTGATCAACCAGGTTGACTGTGTGTTAGCCATAGCTATGTGAACTGTTCATATCCATAGGGGGTCCTGCAAGACTCTTTTCTCATCAAGTCAGGAGCTTCAGTGTTAGAACAGTTGTCAGAGGAGAGTGGGTGAGAACCAGTTACATGGACTCAGTATCTCGACTGGCCGTTTTAAGAGATGAGAGGGGGAGGTAGCTCAACTTTACTTAACTGGCAGGTCTAGGTCAGGGCTTGAAATTTTGAGTGTGTGTGTGTCCACGTATTTGGGATAGTAAACATAAAATCCAAGTTCTTCTTGATTAGGATTAAGGAGTAGCAAAGTATCTTTATAGGTGATTGCTAAGTTCGATTAAAAAATCATTTTTGTTTGTTAAAAACTGGGAAATACAGGAAATAAAACACAATCCCACAGAAAAATACACACAACCAATTTAGTGAATTTTCTGCTAGATACTTTTCTGTGCACATTTTTATGTAGTTGAGGTTTCATTATGTATTATTTTGTCTTGCACTTGTGCTTAAGACATTCTGCGCAAGTCCTGGTATCATTTTTGTAATTATTGTGAATGTCAATATGATATTATGGCTATGGTCTAACATGGTTAACTGCTTTCTTATTGTTGGATGTAGTGTTATGCTGTTTTGGAACCAAGAATTTTAGCCTTAAGATGTATTCTATACCCTCTTCTTTGGCTTCAGCTTTGAAATAGTCCTTTAAACATTTTTTCCCACCCCTTCTTCCTCTAAGCACTCCCTTGCACTGCGATGCTTATCTCACTCTGTTCTCTTAGAAATTCCAGGGGCTAATTCTAAAGCAAGCCAGACACAAAGGCCCTGCTGTGGAATTCTCCCAAGTAGGGAGAGCCTTGAGGCATAACCCATACCCCAGGCACAATCAGGGAAACACCAACCAGACGCCTGAGGATTCTGGAGGCTAATCTTAGAACAAACCAGGCCTGCACCTCTACTGGGGAACCTTCCCACCAAGGGATTCATGATTGATTGTTTCACCACTCACCTACAGCCAAGATGACACCAATCAGGCTTCTGGATGGACAATTGCTTGAGACAGCCATTGGAACAAGGACACATAGACCTTACCATACTCCTCCATGTTTTCCACACGAAAGTTCTCTTTAAAATCCCTTTCTGACAGCCCCAAATTTGAGATAGTACTTGGGACATCAGTCTGCCATCTCCTCAGGAAGTCGGCTTCTTAAATAAAGCTGTTTTTCCTTCCACCAACTCTGTCTCTCAAGTTTGGTTTTGGAGAACAACTAAACGTGGGTCTGGTCATATTATAAACATTTGTGCATAAATCACTGTGCTTTTCGCTTTAGAATTATTTCTATGAATCAAAATTACAAGATTAAGGAGTTAATACTTTTTAAAGGCTTTAGATAAATTTTATCAGAGGCTTGTGCCTCTGTGTATGCGAGTGTTCATTTCATGGCAATATTGGCAGTGTGGAATGCTTCCTGAAGGAAAAATTCCTGCTAATTTGACGGTAAAACAGCATTTTATTGTAATTTTATTCACATCTCTATGATCACTAGTTACAGCATATTTATTCTTTTTTCTCTTCTGCCAACAACTTGTTCACTTTTCCATTTTTCATCCACATTAATGAAACTATTGTTTTATAAAATCTCCATTGAATCAACAGTAAAATACTCATGAGAGTTCATTTTACTGAATTGATTTAAATATTTTATTTAAAGAAATATTCTGAGATCTATAGTTCATTGATAGAAAAATATAAAGCATACATGTTTATAGATCATTATGCACTGACATTATAGTAAACAGATTCTCCAAATAACATGATTAATTTTATGGTGCTACTAGTGGAATGCATTCTGCAGAAACGTGGTTTTACCTTCAGACTTGAGCACATTACCCTTATATCCAAAAAGGATAATAAAAACACAACTTTGATTAGTTCAAATTTTAGCAGACCACATCTGAATTGTTGAAGAGTAAGTTCTTTTATTTACCTCTTCAAGGAAGTGATTATTTTCTTCACCTCTTTTTGTGCCTCTTTATCCTATAAAAAGAATACAAATACACAATGAAATTTCATGCATTCATCCTGATACTCTAGTACTTTGAAATAGACATTTGCTTAGCACAAGTATACTTCTTGAAAGATCATTACAAAGAAGCTGTGCATGTCTTAAGACTAGGCATGACATCATCAATAACTCAAAAAACAACAGATGCTGGAGAGGATGCGGTGAAAAGGGAACACTTCTACACTGTTAGTGGGAGTATAAACTAGTACAGCTTCCATGGAAAACAGTGTGGTGATTCCTAAAAGATCTAAAAATCAACCTCCCATATGACCCCACAATCCCCCTACTGGGAATATACCCGGAGGAAGTCAAATCACTCTCTGAAAAAGATACCTGCACATGCATGTTTATTGGAGCATTGTTCACAATAGCAAAAACATGGAATCAATTGTGCTGCCCATTGAAAGAACACTGGATAAAAAAAGTGTGGTACATATACACAATGGAATATTATGCAGCCATAAAGAAGGACAAAATTATGAACTTCTCAGCAACTTGGGTGGACTCAGAGTCTATAATACTGAGTGACCTCACAGAAACAAAGAACTAAGTATCATATGTTCTCACTCATTAGTAGACCTTGAACAATTATCATAAAACTATAGGAAAAGGATTGTCAGTAGTGGGAAATTGCTGGGGGGTGGTGGTGGGATTGACAGTAGTGGGATTCTGCTGGGGAGAACACCCTCATCAACAAGGGTACCTGCATAATGAACATTTGTATATTTATCTCTGAATTGTACATTTTTAAAATTAAAAATTACAAAAAAATGTGGTACATATACATGATGGACTATTATGCGGCCATAAAGAACTAAATTATGATCTTCACAGCAACCTGGATGAACTTCGAGGCTATAATACTAAGTGACCTATCACAGAAACAAAGAACCAAGTATCACATGTTCTCACTCATTAGTGGACCTTGAACAACTATTGTAATACTAGAAGAAAGGGACTGGCAGTAGTGGGAAACTGCCAGGGGAGGGCGAGGGAGGGATTAGCAGTAGTGAGAAACTGCCAGGAATGGTGGGGGGGCACACCTCATCAACAAAGATACCTGCATAATGAACATCTGTATACCTAACCCTGAAATGTACCCCACATCTGCAAAATTAAAAATTAAAAAAAAAAAAAAGACCAGGCATGATCCAGATCTAAGAGTGTGAGTAACATGGAAAGCTATTTTGGGGCTCTTCTTCCACCAGATCCTGAATGGTGGGCTACAGGAAGGACAGAGCCTTCCATGTAAGCTGATACGATGTGTCTGCCTTACTGTTTTCCTCTTCAACTGTGAGATGTGAAGAAGCCCTAGACCTAGCAGCAAGATTTGAAGAAATTGAGATTCCGCTGTAAGAGCCAGTCAACATATATTTCATTATTGACTATCTGGTAGCTTATATTTAAGATTAAAAATCAGGTAATGGCCAGGAGTGGTGGCTCAGCCTGTAATCCCAGCACTCTGAGAGGCCGAGGTGAGAGAATTGCCTGAGGCTGGGGGTTCAAGACCAGCCTGGGCAACTTGGTGAGACCTCATCTCTATAACAAACCCCAAAGTGAGCCGGGTGTGGTGGCATGTGTCTGTAGTTCCAGCTACTTGGAAGTCTAGGTTGAGGCAGAAGAATCACCTAAGCCCAGCAGGTCGAGGCTGCAGTGGTTGTGCGTGTGCCACTGTACTCAAGCCTGGGCGACAAGAGTGAGACTCCAACGCAAAAAACAAAAACAAAAAAAATGCAGTATGTTTTATAGAACACTACATGTATTGTATTTACTTTACAAAAAATGTGGAAGTTAGAAGGAGTGGCAATAAATTCAGATGATAAGGTACTTTTATGCATTCTTGCAATTAGGAAACATTTACTGAGAAGACAGAAAAGATTTAAGGAATGTAACAAATTTAAAGTAATTAGACAAAGAATATGGGACAAGGTAGATATCTGGAAGTAGCTGCTAGTTAGACTATTTTAAAAATTGTAAATTCTCCAACAGTTTTAATCATATACCCCAGAATACTGATTCTATTGTAGTAATCAACTAGAGGTCTGCCTTCTATCAAACAATATATACAGAAAATTGTGAGAAAATAAGATTAATGGTATTTGGGATATTAGTGTGTTATTTAGAAGAACTTATAAAAATTCATAATTCTAGGTATTGGGATTCATGTTTATCTTGATAACCATAATCTTGGTGTCTGGCATCTGGATGGTTCTAAATCAATGTCTAATACATGAATGTTTAAACGCAGGAACACAGTAACACTTTTCTGTATCTGAGAATCAATTTCTTACAGAAGAATGACATAGATGAGATATTTCAATTAGATGACTAAAAAAATGAATATTCTCACACTATAATAAGGGAGGACCCTGATGTGCCCTGAATCCCATTCTCTCTGGTTCCCCAGATCTTATCCTATTAATCATCTCCTCTCTCCATCTTTCCTGAGCCTCTCCTTTGCTGGCTCTTTCTCATTATCATTTAAATGTGCTCCTCTATTTTCCATCTACAGTAAACTGTTCAAACATCCCTTTAACGTCCACCTTACATCTCTGGAGGTAAAACTCTTCGGAAGGGTGTCTACGTGCACTAACTGCATTTTCTCACCTTCTGGTTGCTCTGCGCTCAGTCACCACCTTCACTGCTGTATTGAAACAGTCTGGGTTAAGATCACCAATGATGGCCACATCATTCAGTTCAACAGACTCATTCCAGTCCTCACTTGCTTGGCTTTTAGTCTAGAGCAGGTGACAGCATCGAACACTTCCTTCATCCCTTGGCTTCCAAGGCCCTGACTTCTCTACTTCTCCTAGTATCTCTTGCAGGTTCCTCCTCCTTCCCAGTTCCATTATGTTAGTGGTTCTCAGGGATTGATCCTCTGCCCTCTACTTTCCATGTACTACATAACCTCTTTGGGCTACCCCTTCCACAACTGTGGCTTCACACATTATTCATACATCAAATATTCAGTTACTCATTGGACTTGATAATCTCACAAACACAAAACCAACATTCCAAAACTGAACAAATCTTTACTACCACTCATAGTCCTTCTCAATTCCCCGTGTCAGTAACCAGTTCCCAAGACAGAAGCCAAGATGTCATCCTTGAGACTACCCTCTTCTAAAATAATCAATATCCAACTCTTGTAGAGAATACCACCTACAGTTCTGTGAAATCTGTTCCCTCCTCTTCATTCTTCACTGTCTTGGTCCACACCACCGTATTATGTCTGTATCACTGCAGTACTATAGTTTCCTAAATGATAGTCTTGCTTCCAGTTTTGCTTGCCTCCACCCCACACTAGTCTTTACCTGGTGGTTATTGGGCTCCTCTAAAAACCTTATTGTGTTACCTGTTGCCTAAGACCTCATGATTTTTCCTTGCCTTTAAGGAAAGGCAAGGAGAAATATAAAGGCATATAAGGCTTTCATTCCTTCTCTTCCTCTAGTACTTAACATTTCAGTCATATTGAACAGTTGATTCAGTGCTTTTGTGTATCATATTTCTCACCTCCAGGCATTTGTCTGTTTTCCAGTGTTTAATAAAGTATGGTCTGTGTGCTATCTGCTTCAGTAGCATCTCAGATATTTGATACTGTCATATATTTATTTATATTTCCCATCATCCTTGCTGTACAGATACATATTTCCATACTAACATAATAGTTAGAACACATTATTTTGTGTTCCATGTTTTTCAGTTACCATTAAAAGTTATATTCTGATCAAAGTCTTTGTAAATATGTAAAGCTGCATAAAAAACAGAAACTGACGAACTGATAATAGTGATAGAGTATTAAAGAAAAAATGTCCCAATTACACAGTGTAATGTTTTATGTTTTTAAAAATATAAATATCCATGGATTACATTTTTCACCAACAACTTTTACCACATACATATTGCCAGGACTAATCTATTAAAGAGGGGGTATCCCATTGCTTATTAAGTATTACCAAATTCCACATTTCCAAGAAAGAATCATAATTCTATACTTTTTTTCTACTTTTTTCTTTTTTTGTTTGAGTTGGAGTCTCACTCTGTCGCCCAGACTGGAGTGCAGTGGCCGCTCCCGGCCACTGCAGCTTCAACCTGCTGGGCTCCGGCGATCCTTCTGCCTCAGCCTTCCAAGTAGCTGGAATTACAGGCATGCGCTATCACGCCCGGTTGATTTTTTGATTTATTGTAGAGATGAGGTCTCGCTGCCCAGGCGGGTCTCGAACCCGCAGGCTCAGGCAATCCACTCACCTCAGCCTCCCAAAGGCGCAGAATTATAGGCTGAGCCACCGAGCCTGGCTTACTTTTTAAAAGTAATATATCATTGGGCAAAAGTCTAACTTATTTGCTGAATTACATGCTAAAAGGATTTTGATAGAGTTTTCTCCAGTATGAATTATGTAAACTCTAGATGAAGTCATTTATACATTGACCTGAAGCCTTGGCCTCTCCCCAGTATGAGAATTTTAAGTTTGAATAAGGTATGTGTAATCACTGAAGACTTTCCTTCATTCATAATACAGAGTGCTTTATACAGTGTTATATTCCTCACATGTTCTGGAATGTTGCTGTATGAGAAAGGGCTTCTCATGCTTATTTCATTGAATTCCTACACCACTGTTGTAGTTCCTAATAGGTGTTCTCCTCTTGGTAGAGGCTTGCCACTTTTTTCCCTGTTCTACTCTCAGTTTTTCTGCATATCAAAGCTCAGGCTTTGCCTGAAGGTTGTAGGTGTTTATCTCCATGGGAGCTCTCGGCTGTCTATAAAGGTTAGAGCTGAAATTGAAGGATCTTACACATTCAGAACATTTATAGGGTTTCTCTCCAGTGTGCATTGTCTTATTATGGCTAAGGCTAGAGCATTAACTGAAGGGTTTCCCACATAGATCATATTCATATGGCGTCTCTCCAGTGTTAATTCACTCATGTTGTTTAAAGGATAAATGGTTACTCAAGGCATTTCCACACCATTACA